AGATTCTTTATTCTTAAGTTATACATCCTCTGGTCATCTTCTAGCCTTTGTATTGTTACTGCTTGTTTCCTTGTTATTTTTCAGAAGTTTTTCCTTTCCTGTTCCTACATTACAAACCTGTCCTTCAGTTCAGATAATCTATCCTTAGTTTCTTTCAAGCTGTTATGCCAGCTTTCAATAGAGTTTTTAGTTTCCTGGTAATCTCTTTGAACCTGCTTCATGTATTCTATGTTTTCTCTATTTTCTCCATCAAATAGTTCTCCCCTTTTTTTATTCTTTCATTCTACCATCTGTTTTTTCTTGGGAGGTGTTTAGCATTTATTTAATTATCCTATTTTGCTTTACTTGTTAAATACTTCACTTTTTAAACTCATCTATGAGGTCCAGAAAATATCACTTATGTCTATTGGTGCCATGTCTGATACTGCATGTTTTCTGTCCTCATTCTCTTTTGCATTTACCTTTCATGAATCAGTGTTCTCAGGATTGGGGACTGAGGACCCTTTCTTGTTGCCTCCTCTTCTTATATTTTTTTGTTCCTCCCATACAGGCATATATAGGAGGCCTAGTTTCTTTCTTTGTCAGTTTCAGTATGTCTGAGGTGCGCTGACTAGGTGGTCCCACCCACTGCAGTATCTGAAAGCTTCACTGTATTAGGGTGCACTGCCAGGCACAGGGACTTGATTTGGGCTAGCCTATTGGGCCTCAGTCCATGGTGTTACCTAGGTCAAGTGCTCCCCACCAATCCTACTTGAGAAGGGAATATCTGACTGAAGTCATTATAGCACCTTGTTCTGGCCAGTTTGCCCAGTCCCAGAATGTCCTGTGTTGGAGCCTCAAGGGAAGGGTCCCTGTTCCTCTCACTCACTTCAGGTCGATGCAGGGCTCCCCGCCAGCTCTGCTCTCAATTCAGTTCACCAATTCCCGCTCTCAGAGTGTTTGTGTCTCCAGTGAGTTGAAACTAGTGGGCCATCCCGGCTGCGCCAATTCAGGCACGGCAGTGGCAGCAAGTTCAATATACAAGTTCAGGTGGCAGCACCAAGATTTTAGCTGTTCCAATTGTAGCACTGGGACTGCATTTCCAATTGGTTTCTCTCAGCTTAGTTCATTCTTTGGTCAGCAATGTATATCTCCCTCTGCTTAGGACTCCCCACACTGCACCATTCCTGGAATCTAAGCTGGATATCTCAGAGAGCCTCTGTAGCTGCTGTTATCTATCTGCCATCTTTTCTTGATCAGCAAGGTAGTTTCTAAATACAAATAAGAAGCTAACGAACCTCATTCTAAACCACAGACTTCCGGTGATGTTAAGGCCCTCATGTTACTAATGAGACCTACAATAAAGACAAAATGAAGCACAAAGAAATCCTGAACTCCCTCCCATGGGACTGTACCTGCCAACATTGGCATTGCTTTTTAAAAGACTATCGTGAAGCCAGGTGTGGTGGCGCACACTTGCAAGCCAGCACTCGGAAGCTGAGGCAGGAGGATCATTGGGAATTTGAGCCCAGTTTGGGCTCCAAATTGAGCTCAAGGCCAGGCTGAACTGCATAGCAATACCTGTGGAAAACCACCCAGATGACTCTCCTTGAAAAGAATAGCTGTCTCCACTGTGGGTAAACTTGACCCTGTCTCCGTGTACTGCTATGTACAGAGCTGGCTGGGTTATTTCTTTGTTCCTCCAGCTGGCTTTAAGCAATAGGAATTGGGCTGGCTGAGGAGCTGCTATGTCATCTTTAAAGCAAAGCAACAGGTCAGTGTCACCTCTCCCAGTGACTCCCAAAATACACGATTGAGCCAGGTGAGATGGAGCATGCTCCATGCTGTCAGCTGGGACTTGGGACCAAGTCTCAAAAAAGAGGCTATGACCTCCCAGGGCAAAAGAATTGAAGCACTGATCCCAGATTATTAGACACTATCTCAGTTGTGTTATGCAGATTGCTGTCTCTGCATATCTTGTCTTCTGCGTATCGCAGAGGTGATCTCAGATCTCCTGTCTAGCCCAGCTCAGGCTGTCACATATTTCCCACCACTCTCTCTGTCACTCATCCCCAAGCCACTCCCCTCATGGAGAATTCATAAAACTCATTTTGGGCCCTGGGTGTGGTTTTTGTTTCAGTGAATCACCATCATGGCTGGACTTAGGACTCCTTAGCTCCCTACAACTATATATGCCTTAGTGTCACAGGCAGCCTAATTACTTAGAAATACTATAGGCACTCAGACAGAGTTGGGTCCTCCAAGGAGCCAGTGCCGAAGCCCAGATACCTTGCAACCCTGGAGGAGACACACACCTCTGCTGTGGGCCAGATCCCAAGATAAAAGGCACAACAAATGCAGCCACACCCTGAAGATAAACCTCAGGATCTGATATTCTACATAGGCATCCATCATGTTGAGAAAGCCAGGAGTCATTAATCCAGCCCCTCGACAGCAAAGACTGTTCTGCATTCACACCTCCTTGCTACATGTGATCCCAACTTAATCAGTTTGATCCCAATTTAATCAATTTACCTGAGTAATTATAATCTTATTAGTTGACCATAGGTCTGTCGCACCGCATGCCCACCTTGCAAGTTCCTTTTTCCCCACTCTGGACCCACCTCACCTCATGGTTTTGCTCTGCAAAAGTCCCTGGAAAGGGCAGAGTCCTCGGCCACCCACTGAGGACCCCTTCTATCTCCCTGTCAGACAGAAGCTTTCTGTCAATAAATATATCCTGTTCTTTACTTCTGTTGTGCCTACAATTCATTTTTCAGTTTTAGAGAACACAAATCTCTACTGGGGGCATCTAGTAGATCAGAAGTTTCTTTCCCCTCTATCATTAGTGTCTCTATCACTCTTGCCTGGGGTTGCACTGGAAGAGGTAGATTGGAATTAACTCACTAGAATTCCAACAACTTCTCCTTGGGATTACACATAGAAACCTCCCTGGACAGAGATCAGCACAGAGAATAGGTTCTCTTAAAGATCCAGTCTTGAAAGGACAAAAACGGGCCAGGGACAAAGCTCAGCTGCACAAGTGCCTGCCTGCAAGTGAGAGTTGTGAGTTGAATTCCCGGTACCACCCCCAATAATAATAATAATAATAATCATAGTAACAAAACAAAAACCCCTGTCATGAGTGGAAACACACACGAAATCAGTACACAACAAGCAAATGTTAGACTTTTAGGAACCCAGATATTCAGAGAAAGCAGAATAATATCAAATCAAAGCAGTAAAATTCCTGTGACTTTGAATGTGAGCTGTGTGACCTCATTTGTATCTGTCCATGTGAAAATGTGTTTTCCAGTTTTGTCCCCTGAGAGGCCCAGGAGCAGTGACCACACAGTCCTGATGACTGCTTCGGAACTGGGACAGGGACTTTTTAGAGAAGTGCCAAGTGCCACGGAGGTCAGGGAGGGCCTGGGCCTCTGCCAGCACAGGCAAGGGGCCAGGAACTGCACAGTGAGTGCAGAGAGACATGGACGGGGCCAGGACAGAGGCAAAGAAAGGACAGTGAGAAGGCCAGGCCTCTCTGAGGCCTCTGGAGTGGCCAGGGTGTCCGCCCACTCCTTTCACGGACAATAGACGGCAGGAAGTGTGCAAGCATTGACGCTGCCTGTCTGCACCAAACCGTCCAGGGAAGGGTTGGCTGTCCAGAGAAAAATGGTGGAGGAGGCCGAGCCCTGGCCCTTCACGAGCAGGGGAAGTCACAGGCCGAAGATGCGCACGGGACTCCAGCAGGGGTCCGGGGAAGGGGACAGGGACTGTGTGTGTCCGGGCCCTCTCAAATCAGGGTAAGTGTGGAAACGGAGGCACGTGCCTCCTAAAGTCAGACACGGGCACCTCTGTCCATCAAGTATTCTTTCCAAGAGAAATAAACATTAGTAAAGTGGGTCTCTATCAACAAGGCTTCTATCTGTGATGCCGACTTTTATGAAGAACAGAGGGCAGAGGAACTGATGTAAACTATAGAAACCAATTCATTATATAAACCTATCACACCGGTCATAGTGGCACATGCCTGTCACCTCGGCATTCAGGAGGCTGAGGCAGGAGGACTGCCATGTGTGTAAAATAACCAGGACAAATGGGGCAGTGGTGATTGATGCTAGTCAAACGGTGAACCCATTTGTCTCCCCAGGGGTAGCTCCATTATTGCAGTCAGCTGCAATTTACTTACTTTGTACACACACACTTATTTGGATGTGTTTCTGTACTCTTCATGTTGTTTCTGCTTGTGTTCTTTAGAACATGACTAATCCCTGGCTCTGCATTTTTTCAAAAATGTTTTAATACACGCAGATGGGATGAACAGAACAAGAGTTACTTTCTTCTCTGAAAAAGGAAAACACTTTCCCCCTTCACTGCAGGGTCCTGCAAGCTCCTCTGTTTTAGAGAATCAAAGTCAGATACGGGCTGTGAGAGTCAGAATTTCTGTGTCGTGAAGGCCTTTAGACGGGTGCTTATAGCACCGACAGTCTGTGATCTGTGTCCCACACACAGTGGAGGCTGGTGAAAATCATATAGCTTTTAAAATTGACCCTATGTCTTAGCCAGTTTTCTCTGGCTGAGACAAAAGACCCAACAACCTAGCTTAGAGGACAAAAGGTTTATTTAGTTCACGGTTTGTGGAAGTTTCAGTCCACTGTCGGCTGGATTCAAGGCAGGGCAGCACACAGCAGAGAGGCAACAGTTCATGGTGGTGGAAGCCATGAGAGAACTAGCAAGACAGGCCTCCTTCTGTCCCTTACAGCATCCAGACCACTGGGATCTGGGCAGTGCCGATCCACTCAGTGGACTGGCCCAGCACTCACCCACCCTGAACCCCAGCACCCTGAGTCCCGGCATTACACTGCAATCACACAGAGTCAGACACCTCCAAAAAAGAGTCCTACTACCACATGAGGATGTGGGGGGCGTCTAGACACAAACCCTAACACCGCCTCAGGGAGAAATGACATCTTCAGATTGGTCTGCAGAAATTTCTAGGTGTGTGTACTCCTGTAGCTCACCTCTTAGGTTGTGGCATTGCTCTCTTTCATAATGCTTATTTGTCTTGTGATGCGAACAGGCACATACATGGCTCCCAAGTCGTGTTACGTTGGGTAAATATGGATGAGATTTCTCAAAATCGTTGGAGAATAATTTACACATTTCTTGTCAGTCACTTTCTCGTTGCTGAAAAAAAAACACCTAACAATTTAAAGGAACAGAAGTTTACTTTGGTCTGTGGTTTCCATCTGCAGTCGCCTGACTTCATGGAGAAATAAAGATAGTGCCGGGCCCTGGTTGAGTAAGAGGAGCTCAAGCCTGGGCAGTCAGGAAGCAGCGGGAGGGGAGGAGCCAGGGAGGTGGAGCACCACACAGGCCACGCCCCCAGTGACCTGCCCTCCAACCAGGCTGTACTTTCTAACAGCACACTGGGCTATGAGCACACGGGGTGGGGGTGGAGGATTGGTTTATGGAGGAGGGCGGGGCCTCCTCAATCCAATCATATTCCAGAGGCCTCCTCCTAAGCCCAGAAGACTGCTGGGAAACATCCTAGATCTAAACTGTAACGGTAGGCTTCTATAGAACCTAGAAAGACAGGTCAGTTGTGATTGTTTCTAAGTTATAACTATGGCTTATATTTTAAATAAATAACAGCAATAGAAAACTGTCACTTTCCCTGACTCTTGAATTATTGAGAATGTCAACTCATTGTTATCTAAAATAACCCCTACTTTCCTATTGAGCCTTTTGTTTCTAACTGAAGCTGTATTTTGCACACCACAGATTTAAAAGAAGCCTTGTAGAGAATGTGACTCTTGAGTTGAGTTCCCGTAGCTCAGATTACCTGGTTCTGCAGCATGATTGCTGTGGGCTGGATCCTGGCGGGGTGATGCAGTGCATGGAAAGAGTATGGGACTAATATTTACAGTGCTCACACTGTGCTAAATTTCCAGCCTTGTCGATGTTATATAATCATTAAAACAACCTGGTGAAAGGATATGTGTGTCTGATTTCTACTTTACAAAAACAGAAATGGAGACTTGAGAGATTATGTGATTTCTCAATGCCTCTGCTGCTCAAAAAAGGGAGGTTAACCTTGGCTCTGGTTACAAAGCTGGCACCTTCTCCGTTATAGCAAGTCATTTGCATGGCGCGATGTGCATAGTATTTCTCTTTCATTTCTGTCTTCTGAACAAAATACTGCCAGCCAGCCCTTCAGACCCTTCTAGTTTAAGATTCTTTGTGAAATGTGTATTCAGATAAGGAAATCAGTACTGGCTGGCAGATGGTTTTCATAGTCTATGATAAAAGATTTGCCCCTTCCCTAATTTTATTAGTGATAAGGTTGCTTTTTATATTTTGATACATTATTTTGATTGGAAACATCTAGAATATTTGACGTGTTCATCATTTTCCTGGCTCATAGAGCTCTTAATTGTTTATATCATGTAATATTTTAACTTTTGCAAGTATTAGACAATTTTCCAAATAACATGAAATACCAGAATAACATAGTGCAGTCTTTTTTGTTTTGCACCCAAGAGAGAACACAATGAGTCAGCTCATACTTGAGGTTACTTTTATGAGAAATTACTGTTATGTCCCAGGAGGAGAAAACCATGAATTTAGAGGCCATAGAGGAATATCTTCTTTTAATGACTGTCTCTCGTATCAACACTTGACTCCCTCCTGGCCTACAGCATATAAACACACTTTGTTGAATAATTTCTGAGTGCTTTAAGCACCGCCACGCACCAAGTAATTATTTAAGTCTCTTGGAAAAGGCAGAAATGGGTCAAGTGATTTGCAGCAAGTGCTCCATAAATTATACGGTCCATAGATTGATATTTTAAACCCTAGACTGCTGGAGCACTTGACATCCATTTATAAATTTATCATGGTCTATTAAGGGGAAAAAGAATAACACTTTTCACTTTCAAAGGCACTAATTCTTTTTCAGAAACATAGACCTCTGAGATTTACTTTGGTTGGGCTTGATATCCTTCACAGGGGTTAGGTCAGGAAGGAATTTTCTTTCCTAGGGTATCTAAACAAAGCTGAGACCCAAGGAAGCGTCCACGGAGTGCCCCAGATACCGGTCTAACCTTCAAGAGCGTACTGGGTCACCTTCATATGCTGGCCATTTCTGTGACCTGAAGAAATTCTTCCTTTACCACAAAGGCAGATCCCTTGTTCCAGGTATTTTATAACCGTGTTCCTTTGGAACCTGGAGATCAATTCCGTTCACTCTTTCTTGCCGTTCCCAAATTTCTGCTTTTTCACATGCTTTAAACTCTGCACTCCATCTCCTTCCCTCCTCCTGGACCATCTCTTCCGAGGATTCCGTCATCAGCCTTGTCCAGTGCCACCTTGGAACTAGTTTGCTAGTAAACTGATTCTCTTGACTCTTGCTCCAGTTTTTAATCCAGAAAAATCTCTTGGAGGCCTTTTGCAGCTGTCTATGATCAAGCCTCTAATAATTAGCCTTTTTTTACTGCTGTCTTACTTTGACTTTCTCTACTTCTGGTGAAAACTAGATACTGAATTTTATTACAGGCTCACATTAAAAAATAATTCCTGAAATTAAAGATCTCTATGAGGCTAGAGATGTAGCTTCGTGGTAGAGTGCTTGCCTCGTCCTTAAAGGCCCTGGGTTTGATCCCCAGCAATGAAAGAAACAAAGAAAAACAAAGAAACCAAGAAAGAAAGAGAAAAAACAAAAAAACAAAAACCCAAAGCTTCTCCATAAGGCTACACAAAAGTTCTATGTTCCATGCCCTGTGCCATAATTATACTTATTCTGTCTCCTCTTAAATGTTCCCACTTACATGTACTGCACAATAAAATCATTTCAGAACAATTGTTCTTTAGAGAGTTGCCTTTTTCTGCCATTGTGTTTGCTGATACTTTTTCTTTGCATTAGGACATGATTCCCCACTTGTCCTTACTTTTGAAACCCTAATATTGTTTAATGTCCAGTGAAAAGTTTACCTTATTTAGAAAATCTCAGATGTATCCAATCTGAACAAGACATTCTTTTATTTTCCTTTTATTATTCCTTACAGTCTTTTACACGGTCTGCCCTGTATTATTTTTGAAGTGTTTTCCACCTTGCCCTATGCTTTCCACCTCACTCCAAGAATTTTAGGAGCAAGAACTGTCCCTAAGTCATCTTCGGACTCTTGCACGATCTTTCAGAGCTCAGACCATAGCCGCCACCTTAGGCAGAGACGTTTTGCTGACGGGGAACAGAGAAGCACTGAAAAGCACTTAACAAGAAAGTTATTGTCAAGACAAGTAGCGAGATCATGTGGAAATCTAAGTACAGGCTCCGGGTTATGTATGAGACTCTTGGGACCTGGCGCTCGGGAGACATTAGGAAGAGTTCTGTTTTTATGTCTGTTTCCCCCTCAGGAGATGTGTGGCCTCTCTCGTTCTGTCTCCTGCCCTCCTGTGAGACCAGCTTGCTCTGTCTGCAGCAGCAGAGTGCCCACAGTGCACACAGACTCCCGAGGCCTGGTCTCCCAGCTCTCACCATCCCTAGCAGCCTTGCTATGTCTTATTTCAGACCCCACAGGAGTTTATTACAGTCGCTATTTTGAGCAAGGCTATCTTAGTCACTTTCTTTGTTGCCGATACATCCGCAATGTAAAGTAGAAAAGATTTGTTTTGGCTCACAGTTTTGGTCCGCAGTTGGCCGGCTTCAAGGTGGGATGGTGGGGCCAAGGAGCATGGTGGAGGAAAAGGTACTCACATCATGGAGACCAGGAAGCAGAGGGGGAGGGTGCTGTGGAGGAAGAGAAAACCTCTCAGGCCAGGCCCCTCGTGACCTCTTCTGTGAGGCCCAACCTTCTAACAGCACATTCAACTGTAAACTCGCCAGTGGACTGATCCACTGAAGGGTAGAGCACCCTGCGATCCTGATACCTCCTTACAGCCACGCCTCAAATCACATGAGGCTTTGAGGGGACATCTATGTATACACTAAGCTGGCTCTGGCTCCTACCAACACTCTAGAAAATGCTTAGCACAGTAGGTATCCTATGAACTTTGTTTTTTGTCTTTTGGAGACAGGGTACAGTTCAGGCTGGCCTTGAGCTCACTTTGTAGCCCAGGCTGGTCTTGAACTCGCCATGATCCTCCTGCCCCAGCCTCTTGAGTGCTGGGATTACAGGAGGGTGCCACCATGCCCAGCAATGAACATTTCTTTAAAGCTGAAGATCGTTGTGTTATAATGATCTGAAGATCACTGTGTAACAATTTTTTTGAACAGAGGATCATTGTGAAATAAACCAGGCACAGAAAAACGAGCACTGCACGATCTCATACATATGTGAAATCTAAAAGAGTTGATCCCATAGAAATTGCAGGTGGACTGACAGTCACAGAGAACAGGAGGATCGGGGCGAAGGGATGAGGAAGGCTGAGGGTTGGGTGCTCCATCAATTGGAGCTCAGAAGTCCATGTACCAGTGCCCAGTAGGACGACCACAGATAACAACTATGTACTTGGGAAAGCTACGAGGCAGAATTCTGAATGCTTTCACTGTAAATAAGTGATGAATGTTTGGGAGGACAGAAATGTTTTATCTGACTTAAGCATTAGATAATGCACACCTGGGCAGAAACTTGGTATGGCACTCAGTTAGTATGTAGAATATTTTAATATATCAGTTACAATTTTATAAATATTATAAATGCATAACCAACCTCAAAAAGAAGAAAAAAATCAACATTAGAAACAAAAGAATGATTTTGAAACCAGCAAAAAGGTGGGGAGGGGGCACATACAGAATTTGAATAAGAAGCAAAAAACAAACAAACCCCAGCCCAACACCTAATATGAACAAAATTTTGATCAACACTTACTGTGATAACCAGTGTTTATCCTCAAAGAGTATGCTTAGGATAAAACACTTCATTAAGTACTTATCCATTCACAGCTAAGTACACTATTTAATCATTTTCTATTTATGAAATCTATTTGTTCATGCACAGTCTTGTGACTGAATGCTAAAATTTTTTGCTCCTCTATTAGAGGAGGTAAATGAAGGTAAATGAACACTTTTATCTTATTCTTGTTCTGAAGGCTTATGCTTCACTCAGACCATCAGCGTGTCTCTATGAAAAGGAAACAGGAAATCCTAGAAACTAACTTGCGATTGTTAGATTTTTTTTTTAATCTAAAACTCTAAGTGTTGGAAATTCATCTTAAAATCGTGGCTCAACTGTTGCCTGAGCAAGGAATGGCCATAAGCAAAGTCAGCACACTCAAAACATCTTCAACAGCCACCAGCAGAGTGCCTATAATCTGTAGGGGCAAATAGAGAAAAAGGTTACTTTTAAGTGGATATTTTATCATTTTGGTGTGAAAGGTGTCTCTCCTGACCAGTCCACTGTTTAAACAAAAATGAAGGAGAATAAAGGAAGGCCGGGGCTTGGGTGAGGTGGTTAGGTTTGGATTGTGCAAGACGCTCAGCATTATGGGTATGAATTGTTCATTGAGAAAATAGTGAAAAGTAGCTTCCTGTAACCACAGCAAGGGAGGCTGGCGAGCCGGTCTCCGGAGCTGTCCTGCTCTCTCCCCCAGCAGCTTCCTAGGCCGCCTGCCGCCTCCCACTGCACACCCTGTGGGTGACAGTGCACCCCAGCCTGGCCCCCCAGCACACCGCGCCTCCTCTCTCACGCCCCAGGCCCCTCTCGTGCCCTCCTCTCCCCACACTGTATTCTGGCAAACGCTCTGCAAATTCTTACCCGCACTCTGACTGGTAGTTGCATTCCCAGTGCACTGACGAATTTCCATGACTGTCTGTCATTTAAAGCTTCTATTTTAAAACGCTGAAGTTACCCTAATGCCGAGAAGAGCAGCGATGTTGTGAAGGGGGGAACAGAATCACTGTTTTAAACAAGATTCTAAAGGACATAGTTCCACAGCTCTGGGTAACGCATGGAACCTTCTGAATCCTCAGTGGTATCCGTTGTGAAATTTACATACTGTGAATGGGTTGCAGTGATTCCGTAAAAGGAGAAAAGTGCTTAGACGTTTTTAATATGTCTAAGTATGTTACGTGTGTGTGTGTGTCCTCACATATATGCATAATAAGACTGTCCTTCCTCACGTGTCCTGCCTGTGAAATTGTCAAATGAGTGGCCAGGTAGGGCATTAGCTAGAGAAACGGTCTCTCAGCAGAGAATGATTGCTCTGTGTCTCGGAGACCACGGCCGAGCACCCAGAGAAACACGGTCACCGTTTAGCCTCCTCCAACGCAGCTGAATGTGAGTGACACAGTGAGAGAACACAGGATAAAGCAGCCTTGCGGGCGATTTCCTCCTATTATGTTCATATGAAAGGAGGGCTGCGAACTCCACATATTTTTTTTCCCAGTTTTCTGTCTCACAGTTTTAATGCGCACCTCAAGCTATGAGCTGAAGGCTGTAAAAAACGAGATGGATGTGTTATCAGGAGATAACCTTGGGAGGCAACCAGGGGCAAAATAAGATCGTCTCGAGTAAAGCCATTTGAGAGCAGGCTATCACATGAACTCCAACACTAGGAAATTATGACCCGCAGGACCTGCTGACAGCCAGGTGCCAGCTGGTGTGTAATCTAAGAGCTGCTGACACAGGAAAAGCATGAAGTGTATTTTATGAGAGACATCCGTGATCACTCTGCCTGCTCCTGAAAGAGAATTCTGTGGAGTTGAAAGGGTCTTTGGGGGTCAAAAGATCAGTCAAGGGCAGGACGGCTCGTCCAGGACACCTTTTTCTGTTTTTGTGGAAATTAACAAGAAGAATTATTTTCCCCAAGTGTCCCACTGTGCCAGGCAGTTATTTAGGACGGGCCTTACACAGCATTTCCCAGTGTGACTGCTGGGGTGGACAGAATTTCACACCACCGAAAAGACATAAATGGCATCAACACCCTCTGCTTGGAAAACTTCCCAAGCTCTTATGGAAACGTCCTGATGGGTGCAGCCGGTAACAGGATTTCTCAGTGAGGAACAGCTCTGTGACAAAAGGGGGCTGGAGCAGCATCAGCGGGAGATAAAGGAAGTCGGACAGTGTTGGGACTGAAAAAGCTGGTAAGGAGCCCACAGAACAAGTTCCGCTGACGTGCCAGGTGGGCTTACTAACCAGGGCTTTCTGGCTCTTGTCACAGGCAGCTGAGCTTGAGAGAAATATTCTGGGCAGTCAGACAGGGCTGGGCCCGGAAGGAGCCAGTGCAGAAGGCCAGATACCTTGCAGCCTTGGAGGAGACTCCTCTGCTGTGGGCCAGACCTCAAGACAAAAGCCAAAACAAATGCACCCCACCCTAAAAATAAACATCAGGGACTGGTAATCTACATAGGCATCCATCACCTTGAGGAAGCCAGAAGGAGCCATTAACCCAGCCCCTGACCAGCAAGGTCTGTATTCTCTACTTTTTTTGTTTTTGTCATTTTTATTGGTACCAGGGGTTGAACTCACAACCGCACACTTGCAAGGCAGGGGCTTATGCCGCTGAGCTAAATCCCCAGCCCCTAAAGTCTGTATTCTGTATTCACAGCTGTTTGCTATGTGACTGTCCTCCCCATTTGATCCCAACTTAATCGATTTTACCTGAACAGCTACACTCGTAATCTTATTGGTTGACCACACCCCATGGGGTGTCCTTATTGGTCTGTCCCACCTCATGCCCATCTGCCATGCGAGCTCCCAGTTCTCCCCACCTTGGACCCACTTCACCTCGTGCTCTATAAAAGTTACTCGAAAAAGTGGGGTCTTTGGCAACCCACTTGGGACCCCTTCGGTCTCTCCCAGACAGAAGCTTTCTTCCTCTCAATAAATATATTATGCTCTTAACCTCCGTTGTTCCTAAAGTTCATTCTTTGATTTTAGAGAACAGGAACTTGTACCAGACATCTAGCAGATCAGGAGTTTCTCTCACTTGTATCTTTGTGACAACTGTGCCTTTCCATCGGGAGAATTTAAACATTTAGGCACAAGTGCTGTTGAGTATGGAATCAGAGAACTTTAATAGATGGAAGGGAACGGAGCCACTTTCCACACCCCAAAACCACTGCGTGAATGACCTAGACACAACGATGTCACATCCCGGACGTCAAGAGAGGAGCCAGAAGGTCCCCGCTCCCCTGCTTCAAGAAGAAAAGCACCGCCCCCCTCCTTTCTGCAAGAGAATCCTTTCTACTTTCTCCCCCAGAAATGCTTGACTTTGTTTAAAAGTCATCATAACAAATTTTTGCAATTGTGGACAAGTTAATATATATCTCAATATCCCCACGCTACTTATAAAAGTAAGTTTTAAGTTATCATCATCTATTTATTTGATCTGGCACCAAATTTTATTTTGGTATGCTCACAGTCTTCATAATTTGTTATTTGCGTGATGTTTAAGTCTTCAGCTTTTAAGTGTGAAAAGGAACTTTGCCACCTAATTTAAAAATTCTGTGTCATACATTGCTATACACTGAACAGTTTTGCCCACGCCCTGCCCCATGTCCACATTCTTTACCAGCTAGTCAATGGGGGTAAAATAAACAGGATTATAAGGGTTCAGCATTAGAGAAAAAAGAAAGAGTATTTTCTCACAACACATGGAACACAATTTTTCCTGGATAATTTGTTTATAAAGACTCGCTACTTTCCCACCTGTGGGACAAAGGAATGTTTACCCAGCAAATGTGCGTGTCATGTGATAATCCACCAGGGCACTTAACATTCTCAAGAGGACTGCAGTATGGTCGGAGCTTTGAGGGAAAGTTGGTTTGGTTTTTGTTTCTGTTTTAGTTTTTCTGTTGTTTTTTGCTAACTTCACTGTTTATGATCATTTTTTTTTAATCTTTTGTCCGTGGAAAGCTAGGATTTTATAACATAAATATAGAAACAATGTTTTGCTTTGGACTCCCAGCGTTGAAGAAAAAGGGAAGCCCAATTTTCTCTTCCCTGATTTTCTTAGGAAGGAAAGGGATGTTCATTCTTGTTCATTTCAAAACTGTCCCCTTGGGTGCTGAGAGCTGAGCCTGGCTGATTCGGGTTAGAGTTAGGCTGTGAAACTAAAGGAAACACAGTGTCCACAGCTCCTACCGTGACGAGAAGACAGGACCCTCCTGAAACAGCAGGCACGGGGGATTCGGAGATGATGACACCTGGAAGGGTTACGGGGCCCAGGGCAGGAGTGCCCTGCTCTCTTCCCAGGGTGCTGAGCCCCAGGAGCAAGGGACGAGAGTACAGCAGCTCCAACCCGGCCCGACAGCCCGGGGACGGTGCAGCAGCGTCCGGCACCCACCTGGTCCAGCGCAGCAAGGCAGTGACCGGGCCGTGAATTCTGAGGACTGCGTCCACCCTGGGTAAACTGAAGGATGGCGATTGTGTGTCTGCCAGCTGTGCTGTGGGCCCGATCGACACCCCTAAAACTGGTAACATACCCGGGTAGCTACTGCTTAACGGCATTTTCAGACCCAACTACAGTTCACTCGGTACATTCTGAGTAGGGAAGTCTGCACTAAGGGCCCGTGGACAGATGAAGGCAGGCCCTAAGGAGCGCACAGATGTCCCTGAGGAGGAGGGGTTCTGCCCCCAGGACACAGCGGCGGGTTCTGCCCCCAGGACACAGCGGCAGCTCCTCGCTAGTCCCCAGCCGCAGCCCACCTTGCAGATTTCTGGTTTGTCAGTCTTACTTGGTGCAGGCTGATTCCCTAAACTAAACCTTTCTTTCTGCACACACTCACACGATTGACCCTGTTTTACTGAAGACCTCCTGAACAATACAATAGAAAAGTCTACAGTGCCTCCCTCCCTGTAGAGGAGGCCGGGGACCCCTATGCGGGGACAGAAAGTATAGGGAGAAGAGCCGAGCCCTGGAGACCAGAAGGCCAAAGACACAGGAGCTCCTGGACCAACGTACATGGCAGCAACAGCCACACAGGGGAGCACACCCAGGAGGACACCAGCTCCCAGCATTCAAGGGCCAGCACAGACTGTCCACACCACAAAGCGAGGGAAGACCCCAGAAACAACATAGAGTCGGTCAACACCCCTAGATGCCCATGAGAAAGATGCTCCTCATTACACAGGCGCAGCAGGAAGAAGTAACTGGAGAGAGCAGAATAACAGTCTGTAATACTATCTGTGCTCTGATAGATACGGCAACAGTACACGGGGCTGATGCTAAATATGCGATTTTAAACATGAACCTTCACTTACGTGATGAAGTAAGTTTACGCCTTCCTCATCACGGAAGTCTGGAGTCTCTGGATTAAAGATAATGGTAACGCATTGACCACGGAGGTTTTATATGAATTCCAGCATGTTCCAAAGTCCGGGCTCTCCAGCTAAGCCAGCTACTGTGGATCTCTATGTAGCTATACTTTTTAATCCTAAAATACTTGGGTGTGTTCCTTTGTGTGTTTGTTTTTATAGACTTGTAAAAATAGATTTATTCTTAAAATAAGTTTAGGCAAAATAAAGCAGAACACGCAGAAGTTTCCTGTATTCCTCCTACCCTCCCCCTGTACAAGGCAGGGATGGATAATTTACACTAATGAATTTACACCGACACATCAGTGTCACACGAAGACCAAGGTTCACAGGAGCGTTCGCTCCTGGTACTGTATACTCCATAACTCTGAGCAAGTTGCACCCTTTCAGGATCACACAGAATAACACGACAGCCCTCAAAGTCTGCGCTACCCATTGAGCTCGCCCTCCTCACCAGCTCCTCGCAGGACCACTGATCGTTTTACTGTCTCTACGGAATTGTGTCTTCCAGAATGTCATATATCTGCACTCAGACATTGCATGGCCTTTTCAAGTTGGCATCTTAATCATTTGAATTTAAGTTTCCTGCAGTGTCTGTCCATGGGTCCAGAACTTACATCTTTCTAGCTTTGTGTGTGAAAGTCCATTGTCCAGATTACCACAGTTTATGAATATTCACCCACTCAGCCACTGCAGGACGTCCTGGTTGTTTCCAGGCTTTAGCAGTCACGAGTTACCATTCTGTATAGCCACCAGCACATTTGTGAATGGATATGGCTTTCAACTCTTTGTGAAATCTCACAAAGAGAACAGCGGCTGGATCAAAGGGCAAGAGAGCTGGGGACTCATGGAGAACCCGCAAACTGTCTTCAGAAGTTGCTGTACACTTGGTACCCCCA